CATAAGAACCCAAAAAAGATCATAATCTCTCACATAACTCAAAACTTCATACTTATGGGTTATTCTGCTAGATCTCCAAGTTCCAATGCCTTAAACCTCAATTCAGGGGAAATAATATTATAGCCACTCCCATTCCAAAGAGCCAAATCTTTGTTTTTGTTTACTGCTAAGATGATTTGCACAAACCCTTTACAAGATATAAGAAGGCAGAATAACAATCCAAGTCAAATGCACATAGAGATACATTCTGATGGGTCTTCCAATCAAATCCCTGAAAGATATTCATCTTCTTCCCAGAAAAAAAAAGAAAAAAACTTTAAACATATAAAAGACACTATTCTAAGGAAAAGGAAAAGCATAAGAGGAGGCAATGAGAGCAATTTAAAGTACTAGATATAATCAAAGACCTGAAAGGTAAACTCAGGATATCCCCCTAAATACGTGTAGTTCTGTTACCTCCTTGATGTTGTTAGGATCTCTTGTAGGTGACACTTCAATATACAGTGTTGCTCCTCATTCCTCAAAGGACTAACACACACAAATATTCTAAGAGACTACAATCATCAAGTATAAGCTAGTCTTGGGAGGGGCAGGGGGGTTGCAAAACAACAACAACAACAACAACAACAACAACAAAGCTAGTCTTTATAAAAAGTAATGTCACAAGCCAGGTGTCGTGGGTCATGCCTGTAGTCTCAGCACATTGGGAGGTCGAGGTGGGTGAATCATGATGTCAGGAGTTGGAGACCAGCCTGGCCAAAATGGCGAAAACCCATCTCACTAAAAATGCAAAATTAGCTGGGAGTGGTGGCATGAACCTGTAATCCCAGCTACTCAAGAAGCTGAGGTAGGAGAATTGCTTGAACCCGGGAGGCAGAGGTTGTAGTGAGCCAAGATCATACCGCTGCACTCCAGCGTGGGTAACAGAACAAGACTCCATCTCAAAAAAAAAAAAAAAACAACGTAATGTTCACTCAAAACCAAGTTCATAAAACACTTTCACATGTAACATTTCACTGACCATTCACTACCTCCATTTAACTACCAGTGAGGGCAATCTGTTACCCTCATTTTACAGATGAGTAGTGGAGGGACTTACCTAAATTCATACACTTTGTGACTGGTGGAGCCTCCAACTCAAATGACATGACATCAAATCCCAAGTACTTTCCACACCACATTGTGCCTCCACATTCCACATGAAAAAGTCACAAAACTATCCTGCCTGCCCAATCTGCACTGGTCTATTACCAATACTATAAAAACAAATGTCTGCTGTTAATGACACCATGTGTTATGAGTACAAAAGAGAAAGAAAACAAACTCGGTATTTTCTCTGAGAGGCCTGGCACTCTGATCAGCACCCAACCTATACTTTGACTAACACAGTTTTCACAACAAGTGCTTCAGGTAGGTGCCGATATTCCAAATGTATACCTCAGAAAACACAGAGGCCTATTAACTTGACTAAAGTCACGTATTAAACAAATGACACAGCAATGATGTTAGCCACATATCTGCTATACCACACTGCCTAAAATGGTATCATATCGATGCCCTTTTCTGGTCATCAACAAGAAAAATAAAGTACTTTTTAGGTTAAAATATCTTCATGTGTCAAGTAACCATTTCTCCACTTGTTGCTGTCATAATTTCACTTCCAAGCACAGCACCTTTCTCCTTCCTGATTTTCTCTGGTTTACTCAGTATCTGCTGGCCTCACTGTGCCCTGGAAAAGGGGATAGCTGTTGGAACAGAAAAGTGATGTATCATTAACTAACAGTACTTTACACAGCCACAGGAATCATGCAAATATTATTTCTGCCCTGGGTCTAAGTTAATTCTGTCAAATAGTATGTGTCAGTTATGAGAAATATGAGCCTGACCAAACAATTATGAAATGAAAACAATGAACAAACTATGAACAATCTATCATTTTAATCACAACACTCTAAGGGCGTTCCAATCCAGACAAGACACAAGAACAACAAAATGGCATAAAAGTAATCTCATTATCATCCCAGAGTCTGGCATCCCACCACATTACAACACTGAGGGCACATGGCATTAGTCTCAGAATACTGTACTCCCTCCCTCAGGTGTTGACTGCTAAAGAGAGACAAAGATAGATAAGAAAAAATATAAACATGACTCTAGTTTTAAACTTGGGAAAATTACTGAAAGACTTCCCAGAACAAAATTTAATTAGCTTTAACAGGTTAAGGTATCATTAGGAATCTCAAAGGGGGCTTCCTTAACTGAAGCAAACAGGAGAAACTTTCTGTTAATACAGCTGTATACTCAGAATGGAAGGTAAACAACTAAAAAGGCTTTAAACCAAAACTCTATGTTCGAGGAACAAATAGGAAAAGCTAGGTGTATCTGAGCCAAACTGGAGGAGTTGTGGAAAAGTCTGCTGATAGGCTAAGAACAGGAACAGGAGCAGATAAAAAGGAAACAGGAAGAACTGAGCTAGAGGGAGTATGGGGGGAAGGAGGAGGAGCAAGGGACAAAGAAGGCTGGAACCCAGGAAGTACTGATGGATATGGGCAACATAAGCCTAGAAAAGGAAAGAAATACCCAGAATTGAAAGGTCTGCCAGAGCTTCCCCTGTGGAAAGGACCCTCCTCTTCTACAGGCTAAAATAAAGATAAAGGAAATGACCTGGCCAAGCCTAGAGAAAACAGGGTTCATTTAAGACATAGGGGAGAGTCCTGCCCAAGGATTCTATAAGATAGAATGGAGGGAAATTTTCAGTGCTTTTAAAAATGTAACTTCAAATAGATAAATTATATGGCATGTAAATTATCTCAATAAATTTGTTATTTTTTAAAAAGTGTGGGCTGGGCATGGTGGCTCATGCCTGTAATCTCAGCATTTTGTAGGGTGAGGCAGGAGAATCACTTGAGGCCAAGAGTTCAAGACTAGCCGGGGCAACATAGGGAGACTCCACCTCTACCAAAAAAAAAAAAAAAAAAAAAACCTTAAAAATTAGCCAGGCATGATGGCACTTGCCTGTAGTCCCAGCTACTTCGGAGGCTGAGGTGGGAGGTTAGCTTGAGCCTGGGAGGTCAAGGCTGCAGTGAGCAGTGAGAGCCCACTGCACGTCAGTCTGGGAAACAGAGCGAGACCCTGTCTCAAATAAATGCATAAATAAAGGTGTGTCAAGCTGGGCAATGTGTGACTACTTCGAATTCTGTTAACATAGTTAGTTCAGTTATCGCCAGAAAAGTACCCCCAAATCCCCTCACTCAGTAGGTAAAGTTTACTTGTGTCTGGGAACTTCTCTGTTGGAATACATCAGGAGTTTTATGAATACATGAAAACCAGTAGGGGAGAATACCGGGAGCCAGGTCTTTAAAGAAGTCCCCCATTTTTGCTCTTAGAATTTATTTGACAAAATTTTATATGATGGTATAGGGAAAGGAAGCATTTGCCCAGAGGATCAGGTTTCTTCAGAGGATGATCTAGGGCCAAATCCACCTAGTCAAAGAGAAAACGATCTGAGTTTTGTAAAAAGTCAAGTCAGTTCTGAACAGACCTCAGAACGTTAATCATAAAATGATCGCAGAAGACTTTCTCTTTGCTACCCCCGCATTGGGCTGTACGCCCCGTGTCACTTCCGACGGTTACTACTGAAGGCGGATGCTTTGCCATGATCCCAGAAGTTTCTGGCGAGCTGCCCAATGACACAAATTATAAAGCCATTCGGGGACCGACCTGGGTGAAGCTAAGCGCCACGTCCAGCGCTTGACTCCCCCTTCATCCCTCCCAATATAGAAAAAGGGACAGAAGAGGGCAGCAGGCAAGCAGGAACGCCCAATCAGCCGTCTTCACCCCCCTCCCCTGAGCCAGGTTTCGGGGAGCCGCCCCCTAGCCCTCGCGTAGGCCCATTCCCACCGGCCGCAGCCCTGGGCCAGCGACCCCGAGGAGGAGGGGACAACGGCAGCGAGCGCCCCCACCGGCAGCAAGCGCACCTCCCCGGGGGCAGCGGCCCCCGCGGCCCGTGGGGCCCGAGCCTCCCCGGGAGCAATAGGCTATCGATTCAGCTGCCTGTCGCTAGGAGCCCCGGGAGAGCGAGGCCTACACCGCCCGGCCGGAGCCCCGGCCTCGATTTCGCCACTTTCCCCAAACCAGAGGGAGAGCCCGAGGGCAAGCAGGCCCGTCTGGGCGAGAGGGAGGAGATGCAGAGACCACTTGCAACGGCGGCCGCGGGAAACCGGGTGCGGGACGCCGGGATCCCGCCAACAAGTCTCCCGGGGGTCGCCCACCTACCCCCTGCCTCGCAAGTTGCGCATTCAAGTTAAGGCTGGTGCCCTTTAGCCTCCACTGCCCTCATCACTCTCGAAATCGTATTAAAAACAAGACGAAGAGGAGGCCACCACATCAGGAAAGGCCATGGTGCTGGGGCCCTGAGAGCGCCGAGGGGGGCGGCCCATGGCGACCCCACCGCCAGTCACCTCCCTTCCGCAGACCCCGCCAGCCCCCGGGTCGCCGACCCCGGCCCCTCGGCGTCCGGTGTGTCACCGCCCGCTTCCCAGCCCCAAGACCCCTTCTACTTGACACCGGCGACGGGGGCTCCAGCTCCCCCTTGCCTCCGGCGCGCCTCGGCCTCCTCCCCCTCCACATCCCCAAAATGCCCCCAGCACCTTTTAAAGTACGCGGAGGAAGAGTTTGTCGTCAAACTTTGCCGAGCGGTAACCTCGCCCCCCTCCCCGACCCACACTTTCAGGGCAGGCATCAGGAGAGATCACTTTGCACTTGGGATAAAGCGAATTAAGGAGCTGTCAACCATTTTAGGTCTTTTTTATAGAAGACATCCTCTCCTTCCCCTCCCCCTGCAATGGTTTTAATTTGACACCAAACCTTCCCACCGCAGAAGGGGGATGAGACACGGAGGGGGTGGGGACGGAGGGCAGGAGGAGGGTGACCGGGGAGAGCCAGAGGGGGAGGCTGGGAGGGGGCCGGGAGGCGCGGGGAGGGAAAGGGGGTTGATTTACCTGAGACCAGCCACTGGCCTCCATTGTTGGAGAATTCAATGGCATTGACACAGCCGAAGTGGCCGAGGAGGTCCTTCTTGTAGAGGTTTCTGCAGCCCCGCAGGCGTCTCCTCTGAAAGTCCTGAGTGAGCAGGGGGTCCCCATGCAAGCCCCGCTGGGACAAGAAGCCCACCACTGACCTCATGCTGCCCCCCAGGCCAGCTCTCCTCTTCATGCTGGAACCGCCGCCGCCGCCGCCGCTCGCGCCGCCGCCCCTCCCTCGGCCTCACGCGCGGCCGCCGCTCCCCCCACCCGGCCCTCCCCCCGCGCTGCGATCCGGATGGTTCTTTAACCAGCCATGGCAGGCAGAGCGAGGTGTGCAGACACTCGGCGGCGTTCGCGGCTTCCTGACGGTCCCCTCCCTCTCCTTCCCCCCGAGGCTCCTCCCTCTCCCTCTCCGCCTCCTCCAGCAGCTGATCTTCAGCTGCCGCCGAGCTTCCGCGATGCGCGGCCCTTCCGCCGGCTGCGGGGCCCCGAGAACGCGGCGTCGGCGCCCCTCCCCCCCGGCGGGGGGCTGGCCGGAAGAACGCGGGCGTCCGGCCGGGAGACCGCGGGCGCCGGCTGCCTTCCCGGTTGAGCCGCTTCCCGCGCGGGGACCCGGGTGGCGCCGGGCGGAGACCCCGCTGCACCCTATCGCACGGCACTCCGCGAAGTTGAACGCGCGTAACAATCCGAGTGGCCTCCGGGCTTCGGCTCGCCCTCCTCCCTCGGGGATCCGCGGGCCGGCTGCCGCCCGGAGGCCAGCGCCCGGGCGAGTTCGGGGCAGATGCAGCTGGGGTGGGGGAAGGTGCGGACCGGGACTCCGGTCCTCCTCCCTCTGCCGGCCTCTGCCTGAGGCCGTCCAGCCCTGCGCGAGGCGGGGGAACCGGGAGTTAGGACCGCACGCTTGGAGGGAGGTTGCCTGGGGGTTTTGTTCGCGCACCCGCCCCTTCCCCTCTCCTGGTAAATGTTTTAACACCGCCCCTCCTCCCCGAGTCCAGTTCTCTAACTCTCCCTTCCTCCGGTCCTTCAGTTTAGAAACGCTAAATTGTTCCATCTAGCAGATAATAGAGTGGTACATGGTGGGGAAAAGAGAAAGGGAGAAAAGGATAAAGACGTGGGAAGAAAACAGCCAAAACCGAGTTGATGAAGTCCCGAGAAGCACGAGGTACTTCTCTCCGTTCCAGATAAATTGGCAGGACACAAGAAGCGTGATTTGAAACTAGCGATATATGTTACTGGGTGCGGTGAGCTCCTCTCGAAGGTCTCGAGTGGGGAGCGCTGAGGTTGGACAGCTGTTGACCAGCAGCTGCGCTCCAGGCCAGACGTAGCTGCACTTCAGTAAGATGGGAGTCACCGCGTTGACCCTAGAGAGTGTTAAGTGCTTTGGAATTCTACCAGATACAGTTAAAAGTCCCCTTTTCGATGTATTATGGTACTTTTCCTGGAAGCTATCCTCTGTAATTAAGTGGTAATACGCTGCTGAAATAGGCACTTAGCAGTTTTGCCCTTTCAAGTTAGCAGGAATTACACCCTCTTGACCAGAGATGGCACAGGAGCAGTTGAGTAGAATCACCATTGAAAGATGGGCTGTACATCTCTGAACTGGAAAAGATTAAAAAAAAAAAAAAAAAAAAAAAAGATAGGCTGAACATGGAAGAGGTTTACCCATCAAACAAAATTATTTACTTGTACTTTTTGTTCAGTGATGATAAGATTAATCATACTAATAACACATATGCAAGTGTTTCATATAAAAGTACATATTCTAGCAAACATTACTTAAACAGAAACCAAATTCCATCAGAACTTGTGGAAAAAGGCCAAAAAAATAAATAAATTTTAAAAGAAATTCCAAAAATGTGAATTTTAATGGAACATTGTTCCTCTAAATAGGAAACTATGTGGTACTTTCTTTTAAAAGATTTTATTCTCAAGATGCCTTGTAATAATCCTTTGTGTTTATTCATTATAATTACCACCTGAAAATAGCAGCAGCACACCGGCTTTATTAAAGATGTATAGCATCAAACATCCTAAACATCCTTCTGTCATAGTAATGTCAAAATGTTTAATCATTTATTTTTGTGAGGATATGTGTCTCCCCCACTCTACTGTAAGTTCTCTGAGAGCAGGGACCACGTCTGTTCTGCTCAAGGGTGTCTGTCTGTCTGGAGCCAGGACTTGCTGGCACTAGTGGCCATTTAAATACTTGCTGAATTCCTGAATGAACTTAGGGAGTGGGGAGGAGTTTGGAGGGAAAGGTCGTGCTTTCCGGTTTGGATATGTTGGGTTTGACCTGTGTTTCATTCCAGTGTAATCCACTTATTCCAAGGCCGGTTTTCCTACCCACCGTTCCTTTGCTTGGCATACTCAATCCACACATTCAAAACCCCGTCTGACTTCTTCCAGTTAATAGGCCATTATTTATAACTACCCTATTTGCCTGGAGTGGGGGAGATATGTTTGAAGTGGACTTTACTGTGGCAGTGTATAATACGAACATTCCTCTGCCCTCTTAAGCACATACTCCCTTCTCTACAATTTATACTGAATCCCTGGAAAAATTGTCCCATTTACCTCAGCATAAAAATAGACCAGTATCTGGTCACATGCCAGCCCAAATCTGGGACTTTGCTGGAAACTTCCTTAACTGTTCAGTGACCAACCATGACAGAAAGGTAGGACCACCTAGCCTGTTTATATCCTACTGCTAGTCTGGCCGGCTTTTTATAAGCCTGAATGAAACAGCTTCCCATTCCTCTAATTAGAGTTGTCGGATAAAATGGAGGATACCCAATTTGATATGAATTTCAGATAAACAATGAATGTTTAAGTATATCCCGTGAAATATTTGAGATATGCTCATTATTACTTATTTGAAATTTGAATTGGGCATCCTGAATTTTTATTTGCCCAATCTGGTCACCTACTTATAACCAGCTTCAAAAGATCAAACTTTGTATCAATTTGCTTTTATTAAGAATTTAACTGGCCAGGTGCAGTGGCTCAAGCCTATAATCCCAGCACTTTGGGAGGCTGAGGTGGGTGGACCACCAGGTCTGGAGTTCAAGACCAGCCTGACCAAGATGGTGAAACCCCGTATCTATTAAAAATAAAAAAATTAGCCAGGCGTGGTGGTGGGCACCTGTAATCTCAGCTACTTGGGAGGCTGGGGCAGAGAACTGCTTGAACCCAGGAGGCGGAGGTTGCAGTGAGGCAAGATTGTCCCATTGCACTCGAGACTGGGCCACAGAGCAAGACTCCATCTCAAACAAAGAATTTAAGAATTTAACATAGTCACTAATAACGTTGTAAATAACTACATACAACAAACAGTTTTTTCACTACACTTGTAACAAAACTGCAATACCACCAACATTTAATCAACTTTGATGACCACATGAGCTTTGTCTTTTTCATATAGGCATTTATGGTGAAAAATTCAGTGTACTTAGCTTTAAAATAGCAAATGAAATTTCTTCTGAGTAAACTGATCCATTGCAGAGAATGGAAGAGGGAGAGGAGTAAAAAACTCATATTTTTCTTCCCTAAACCCAGAAACTTATGTGTATTAATATTCATACTCAGAAAGCCTTGCAACACTGATTTGGAAATCCATTCTGGAAAAACTAAGATATGGAAATTGCTTAACCCAAGAACTCTTAATTGCTTCACCATGGATCGAATACTACTCAAATGTAGAATTCTGAGAAATGTATTTACTTTTTGACTTCTATTTCGTTTGACTACAATATCACTGTAAAAAGAGTAAGTATCTTTAAAAACTGAATGCTAAGGAAATGCTCAAACATTAGAAACTGTGTTTTTGAAAATTATTTATTTATTTATTTAGAGGGTCTGGCTCTGTCACCCAGGCTGGAGTGCAGTGGTGTGATCTTTGCTCCCTGCAGTCTCAACCTCCCAGGCTCCAGTGATTCTCCTACCTCAGCCTCCTGAGTATCTGGAACTACAGGCTCATACAACCACACTCAGCTAATTTTTGTCTTTTTTGTAGATGGAGTTTCTCCATGTTGCCCAGGCGGCTCTCAAACTCCTGGGCTCAAGTGATCATCCAGCCTCCACCTCCCAAAGTACTGGGATTACAGGCATGAGCCACCTAGCCTGGCTGTGTTTTTTGTTTATTGTTTTGTTTGGTTTGAGAAAATAATAAGCCATTCTCAAACTTTTATTAAATCTTACCATATTAAGTACTACATATGGATACTAATACGCTCAGAAAAGTTTTTTTCAAAATATTTTCAAATTTAAGCCACTATTCATAATGAGATGTTAATTCATGCAGAGATCAATGCCTCAAATATACATATAATTTAACTGTAACATTTATTTTTAACTTTTTAAAGAGAGGGTCTCTCTGTTGCCCAGGCTGGAGTGCAGTGGGGCAATCATAGCTCACAGCAGCTTGGCACTCCTGGACTCAAGTGATCCTCCCACCTCAGCCTCCTGAGTGATTAGGACTACAGATGCATGCCACCATACCTGGCTAATTTTTTAAAAAATGTTTTGCCATTTTGCTGCCCAGGCTGATCTTGAACTCCTGGCTTCAAACTATCCTTCTTGTCCTCCCGAAGTGCTGTCACTACAGGCATGAGCCACCTCGGCCTGCCAACATTTAAATTTTAAAAGGTAAGTTTTTTATTGGTCATCTCAGATAGACAACAGTCACTTTTGACGTTGAGGAGAAAAGAAACTGATTTATTTAAATTCATATTCTTCCAACAAGACCCATTGGACATGTATATTTTCATTTTTAATAACAACTTTATTGATACATAATTGACATAGCATAAAATTCACCCTTATAAAGTATACAATTCAGTGGTGGTTATTATATGCACAAAGTGGTATAACTATCACCATCTAATTCCAGAACATTTCACTATCCCAAAAAAGAAACCTCATATACATTAGCAGTTGCTCACAATTTCTCCCTCCCCTCAGCTGCTGACAACTACTGATCTAATTGCTATGTCAATGGATTTGCCTATTCTGCATATTTCTTTTTTCTTTTTTGAGATGGAGTCTGGCTCTGTCACCCAGGCTGGAGTGCAGTGACACGATCTCGGCTCACTGCAACCTCCGCCTCCCAGATTGAAGTGATTCTCCTTCCTCAGACTCCCCAGTAACTGGTATTACAGGTGTGCACCACCACACCCAGCTAATTTTTTATATTTTTGGTAGAGACAGGGTTTCACCATGTTGCCAGGCTGCTCTCAAACTCCTGACCTCAAGTGATCCAACTGCCTCAGCCTCCCAAAGTGCTGGGATTACAAGAATGAGTCACCACACCTGGCCTATTCTGCATATTTCGTAGAAGTGAAATCATACAATATGTATGGTCTTTGTATCTGGTTTCTTTCACTTAGCATAATATTTTCAAGGTTCATCCATGTCGTAGCATGTAACAGTACTCCATTATATTTTTAGACCAAATAATATTCCACTGTATGGATATACAGCATTTTGTTTATCTGTTCATGAGTTGATGGGCATTCGGGCTGCTTCCACTTTTTGCCTATTATGAATAATAATATCACTATTGAAAAAATAAAATAAAAATAATAAATGATAAAAAATAATACCACTAATAACAACTTTTTTGTGGGCATATGTTT